TATCGCTGGCTCAGAGAGGCATCAGCCGGTGGGAAAGCTTGCCGTGGCTGAACTGCAATCCACGCTGCCTCATACGCCCTCTCATTTGCAGGGATAACGGCTGTAGCAGAAAGTGTGCGAATTCCTATGATGAACTCTGTGACCATGCACACGGAAAGCGAGACGTGTGTTGAAATGGTGATCAAAAAAAAAAACCTGATTGGGCACCAGAACAGTCTTGTTCTTGGAAGGGGGGGGGAGGGGGATTTCATAAAGATGAAGATTGCCCAAGGTACGCACATAATGCTTAGGAGAACATATACTATGGGAATCGCAAGAGACCGTTCAAAATGGCAAGTCGATAGCCAGTAATACGCTTTCTTCCATTCTCATGTTCTCGTGAGCCCACCCTTGAAGTAGCCCACATAGTCAGAAGCTCCGACTCATGGTAGCAAGCAGAAGTGGTCTTGCAAGTGGCGTCGCGTGCACCCGATTCCATTAGAAGCTAAGTGATTTGATGCGAAAGTATTACAGTAAGCAGAGCTAACTATGTAGATGGGAAATGGTGAGCATAGAGCTACTTTTTGCGTGCTTCGGATGTCCTGACCCGTACCGTGCATGATTATTTACATGGTTGGGATGAAGCCACGACCTCCAAGAGTGCGCCTTCAGAGGCAGAGACAGTTGGAGTTAGGCTGGAGGGTGCTAACTCCCGGAGTGAGGGGGGGGATATTTTTGAAAATTCCAGTCAGCATAAAACAATAAAGGATAAAGGATAAAGTCTTCGCCGTTGATCAATCCCTTTGTGGGATGCGGCACGCATTCTACTTCCATTCAGAATCGTAGTGGCTTATTGAATGCGATGTGGCCTATACAATGACTTGCGGTGGCCAGCCGATGTACAAGTCAGTGTTTTATCCTCCCAGACGAATCTGGTACCAATTTACCGTCCCGGAGGGTAGAAGGCTTGGTTGGCCTGGGCGGGTGTCGACCCGGGATTTGAACCCGGCGCCGCGCGAGTGGTAAGCGCGCCACCTGTCGCTACACTCCGCCTCAATCATTACCAAACAATAATGCGAGCAAACTGTATGTACCGTATCCTCCAAGCCAGTGAGCAGGCACGTGCTGTGTGAGGGGAATTCTTGCAAAATACGACCCCCTCCTTCGAAATTTTCTCTTCTTGGTACGTCCCCTTCGCGCCAATCCCCCATCCTATTCACCATATCCCTAAAATTCTCCCAACTTCCTACCTTTTCCCGCAGTTTTTTTTTGGAAATATCTGAAAATTCATTTTTTTCTCGCAAAAACTGCAATCTACAGGTAGGGGCAGGGTGTGAGGATGGAGCGTAAGGCGCACTTGAAGAAGGGAAGACGGAAAGTCAGCGAACGAAAACATTTTTCTCTAGGGGCAGACACTACCCGCTCCATCCAGCGACCAAATACGACCCCTCTCCGCTCCCTGAAGATCCTCAACGTACGTCGCGCTTTGCTTGGGTGTTGCTCGATAGCTAACGGATTCATTTATTTTATTCATGGAGCATCGTCGAAATATTTCCTTTAAATTGTTATACTCCTTCTATAGTGGCTTATAATTTGTAATTATTTCAAGCCTCTGATTACTATTTTTTACCACTTCTAGTTTTTTTTTCCACTGTTCTCCTCAAAGATGGTCATGGTATTGAATTTGAAACGAACACCTCGCACTGGTCCCATGCTTCTTCATTTGTTTCCAGTACTTTCTTGATCTGAGGGCCACTGAATCGGTGATGGGCTCGTGAGCCTGTGATGCGTGCCATATTCTGAAAATCTGCCTTCTTTGTTTGGTCTTGATACCGTAATATCTACCGTAATCACACTTCTTTCCCGTTCACAGCCTTTTCCATGTCCACGCATTGCTTCTCTGTAGACGAGTCCATCCATATTGGACTGAGTGGAACAGCGAATGCTGACTAAAAATCGATAGAATTTTTATTTTCCCAAAGGGAGCCCCCCTTCCAGGACTGACCTGCCCTAAACCTTCTGCTAATGTTGTGTCTGACGAAAGTGATTCCAGTTTTTCAGCTGCTCCATTAGCCCAGTATACGGTACCATGTTGCTGAAAGTACAGATGAACTACATATTAGCGCAATAGTCCTACTAAGAAGGTGAATACCTGGGCGCACCCTCCGATACTGCGAATACTCTTCGAAGGAATATTTGAACAAATGTGCTCCAATAGCAAATCAACTGCTTTCACCCACATCAGTACCGGTGAAACGATGGCACCGTCGGGGAGTTTGACCACTCCGTCGCAGGTTCTAAAATTAGCCATCGTTGAGACTCTGAAAGGATTCCTTGATTCCTTAGGGAGATAAAGAAAAGTGCACAATTGCCGAGTAGCAGGGTCGGGCACGAACTACTTGAGAATGCCCCCGCGATGTTAGAAAGGGGCGGAAGAATAGGCAGGGGTCCGTAGTGGTTTAGGAGAGAAATGATTTCAATTATTGACTTTTCTCAGTTCTTCCGTACTAAGTACGATGTTTCCCTTCCTTTCTCGTCCCTCCTTCGCACGGCGGCTACTTTTTGGAAAAGTAGGCGACAGCATTTTGGAAGCAGATTTCCAAGAAAAAACGTAGGGCGAAATGCGGTTGCGTTAGAAAATGTAGAAGAAGGGGGAATCGACATAGGAATTAGGTAGATGCAACATGAAATCGGGTGGGATTAGGGAATGGAGGAAGCACTAGAAAGGGATTTCGTTTTCGCAAAAATTGTCCCAACTGGCAGGACGTCCCTGTGCTGAATCTTGCAGAACCTAGGTGCTCGCCCCTTCCACGGTAACTTGACTAATCTAGATAATTTGCGCACGCCCCATCCTGAGCACGTGCTAATGCTCATACTCTAGGCCCTTGTAGTTATAAGAATCCGGTTCGTTCCTGTTAATCCCTGTCCCACAATTTCATCTTTTAGGTAGGAGAAGCTACGTAAACGTTAGCTTACTGGGAATGAAAAACGAAATTCCCCCTCGCAAAATTCCTGAATGTCAACTACCTCTCAATCTACTGGCTCTTCCAGTGATATTTTTCAACAACATCCAAGTATGAGCGATCAGAAAATTTATTTGTTAAGGAAACCCTCAGAAACTGTAGATAGAGAACTGTAAAATTCAACCTCACTTGAATTCTGGCAGATCCCTAGAAAAATTCACGGCATGCCGTAGAACGACGTCGTTTTTTCCATTCAGTACTATTCCTTTGAGCTGAAAATTATTTTATCCTGAGACATCAACTTTTTTGTGCGAACTACCCTTTTTCTGGTGTGTGAGGCGCACTATATGGTTTCGCCTCAAAGCTTTTTTTAATGTGTTTTTGTCAATGTGAGTTATTTATTTTGAATAATAACTAAGTTTAAAAAACAATTAGAGTATCAGAATATGCAAAAAAAACTACTGGCGCTTCAATTTAGAAACAGGCACAGCATGTGGCAGGAGTCTGAGGTGTTGTCGACAGGGCGGGGACATTTGTAACTACCACTGCTTCCCTAGTTCCGGTTTACAAATCTCACCCTTGTGAACCTTGTGAAGCTGGTGCAAGATCGTCTAGCCACCATCCTAAAACGTGTCAACTCGAGAAAAGGCTACCTACAGGGGGGCAAAAAAAAAGTCATTCCGGCCGAGTCACATATGAGCGAAGTTTTCGCAGCCCAGACAGAGGAAGTGGATATGAGTACCAGGGCGGAAGATACCCAAGATCTTCCTCTATAAGCAGGAGCCGGCTGCCGCCATTCACCTTCATGTACACCAAAATATGAAGTCATCTCCAGTCGCGGCCTGAGTGGAGAACGCCTTTGGAATTCACGTGGCCTCCAAACAGCTGCGGAACTTCTTGAATGGAATCACCCATGGATAGCTACCTGGAGACCAGTACTCTTGATCTGCAAGACTCTCAAAACATCGAGCAGCTACCGGCAACTGTCGCCTACGGTCCCAGAATCATCGGGTGTTCACCCATTCACCAAGGGCGGTTGATGGTGGTGGACGGGCCGCGTACCTGGAAGGAAAGCAAATATTTTCTTCATGGACAAACCCGACTAAAAGGTGAGCGCTGTGCCGGTATGACATGGCAACTCGTGAAGAATATCCAGCTCACATGTGGTCGCCCGTACCTTCTTGGAAACTTTGTACTGCTACAGCATCGAGTGCCACCACATGAAATCGAAGGGCGTTGGAAAAACTTTCGCCTACTTGGAATGGAAGAACGTTGAGTACCTGGAAAAGATGGAGTATTTAAGCGGGGGTCCTGAACTAAACCCCCTCAATTACTTACGCTCGGGCGGACTTCCAAGAAGGGTGGTCTACCGGTGGCGCGAGAAAGTCGACGAATCCTCGCTTCAAACTCCGGTACCCACATCACTTCGCGCGGATCCGAATCTTCTCGGTTGGCGCTCTCCAGGAAGCTGTGGCGGATATTCCTTATAGTATTTAAGTGTCTTTAATAATCGGTGAGTAACAAATGTCCGATAAATAGGTTAATGAAGTGTAACTCTAATAGCCGCCTGAAAAGTCATGGGCAAAAAGACTTTTTTTTTGGCCCCCCGCTGTAGGATGGTCGCCACGATCTATGGAAAAGCATGCCCCACTCCCCTCAGAAACTATAGATAGAGAACTGTAAAATTCAACCTCACTTGAATTCTGGCAGATCCCTAGAAAAATTCACGGCATGCCGTAGAACGACGTCGTTTTTTCCATTCAGTACTATTCCTTTGAGCTGAAAATTATTTTATCCTGAGACATCAACTTTTTTGTGCGAACTACCCTTTTTCTGGTGTGTGAGGCGCACTATATGGTTCACATTCGCCTCAAAGCTTTTTTAATGTGTTTTTGTCAATGTGAGTTATTTATTTTGAATAATAACTGCTTTAAAAACAATTAGAGTATCAGAATATGCAAAAAAACACTAAAAAAACTGCTGCTTCGTTTAGAAACAGGGCACAGCATGTGCATGATGTGTGAAAGGGCGGTGTGAGTACAACCCCACCGGAAAGGATCCTGGTACGACCCAACTTTCTAGCTCTAACTGTTTGCTCTGAGAGGGATCAGATACGTAACGACTCGAAGCGCTGACAGCCGCGTTATGATTCCTTGGCAAATTAGCGGTGGAGCAGATTTTCGGTTGGGTTGAAATCGCGGGGCTTTTTTGGGGTGATAGCTTTTTTAGGTGTAAGACTTTTGTGAAACGGAAGGCGGCATGTTGAAGCAATGTCTCTACTGTTGCGTTTTCTACCTACTCGCAATCTGAATCTTCCCCCGTTCGTGAAATATTTCGGATGGGTTACGGACGCGTTAGTGGTAAATCGTGAGCG